AGAGTCGATTTAATTTGAATTTTTAACAATCCCTATCACAATAAACGAATATCTCTCGAAATTATACCCGACCTTTAAGTACCTTTTGAAAAGATTGGAAACTGTTGGATCTGACTGTTAAGAAATATGTCGAAGCTGTTTTATATTTCGAGTTGAACAATCAATAAGAGACACGTTTATTTACAACATATAAAGTTCACAAAGCAACAAGGTGGAAGATCAGACATGGTTTGATGCTACTTCACCCTGCCTTCATCAGGGGTGATAAAGGCACTGGACAGGAGTGTTGAACACTGAGTCGATGAATTGTAATTTCCCCAATTACATACATTAAATCCTTAAACCACAGTAGCATCAAACCGTGTCTAACGTTATTTACTTTTGGGGATTTTCCTTCACGGGAGTGCAACTCGAAACCTTAAACTCGTCGAAGTTGATGCGAATCAACATTGGTATCTGAGTTAGACGACTATTAGAGTAAGAAGCTCTGTACACAAGTTTATTAATTTAGAGAGGACTCAAAGATTTCTAGCTGAACTCGACTACTGTCTCTGTTTCTCTCTCATTTCAGAGGAAGACGTGTTGGCCTTGAAAAGAAAGTTAAGGATTACAGACGAGTGAGCACTCTCGTTAGATAAGGTTCCAGCTACCATTATGCATATGCTAACTGAGGTCCTAACCTCGTTAATGAACTATCAGCAGACATGAAGTGATTGTTTCAAGTAAACAAAAACTGAAGAGGTAGTTAGAAAAGCTAAGTTCTCCTTCATTCTTTATGTTTTTCAATGAGATTGTGCAGAGAGTCTTACGATAGGCGATACACGTAGCATGAAAATTCTCGGGAGTGTTATTTTGAGGAATTTGGGACTTTTTTTAAGTGTTTTACAGCTACAAACTCCAGTTTTGGTGTTCGAGCCTTGATGATTACCGTCTAAACAGCTTCAAACGTTGACAAGGAAGCAAACATAATATTTACTTCAAAAAGTAACTCTCGACCTTTATTTCAGCGTATTATTACACGACTCGGGCAGTCAGAGGGCCAATAACTAAAATCAACCAATCAAAATGCTCTATTGCTGGTCAATATTCTCTCAGTATTGGACCGGGCACTGTCCCGAATGGTCCCGAATGATACCGCACTTGTGTCCCTTTGAACTTCAGTCGTATAATAAATCTCTTTAACCAAGCTTGCTCGGGACCGTACTGTAAGAATATCGGCCCTCGGTCTTTTTTGTATGGACCTCGCTGCGCTTGGTCCGTACTGTCAAGACCTCGGGCCGATATTCTCCCAGTACGGCCCTCGTGCTTGGTTAATAAGATATATGTAAAAAAGTTTAGATATCAGTAACGGAGCTGACCTAGAGCTTTCATGCCATCTGCCAACTTGTACTATGTCCGACCATTTCCCATTTTCTAGCTCTTCTTCGTTAATTGAAAGTGAAATTTCGGAACAAACAAGCAGGCAAGTTCAGTCGTTTATTCATATTTGGCATGAAAAGTGTGGTAGATTTTTGTTGTGTTGAATCATGAGTTACAGGTTTTCCAATCTAGTTCATACATTTACCAGTACCTGGGTAAAGATTTGCAGCAAAACGATTTAAAAAAATTAATCGCAGTCAGTTGTCAATGCTAATACTTTCGACTTGAAGGGCACCGTTATTGTCATTAAGGCCAGGAAAATGCTTCTACAGTTAACAAAGGCGTTGACGTCTTGTCTTCCCTGATGTCATGGGGAATTTTACTTGTTCGATATAGCAGATCCAGAAACCTATGAGAGTTTGATAAGCTCTGTCCAAACTTTAGGTGGTTTTTCCTAGTGTAACTGAATACTTATCATTACTGACAAAGCAAACAAGCTTATGAGCTCTTCCGGCTGTTGTTATACATTGTCACAACTATATTAACACCTACATCGAACATTGGCCAGCTAAATTTGGTGAAGTGTTTGATTCCTACTCCCACCGACCTTACCTTACAAATTAGATCAGTTGATATCTTGTGTCCTTGTAAGAATATCACAATACGCTGTTATTTGTTTTGATCAACGCATACTTTCTTCGTGAAATCGGTAAAGAAAAAATGTTTAGTTCTTGTGATAACTGCGTCTCTAAATGAGTTATGTTTGATTTTACACCTATTTTTATAGAACAATTATTTTTTGACTTATGTTTGATTATTAGTTTTATAAACTATTTGATATTTGTACAGGATTTTCGTGGAAATTACTCATCTTATCTTTCAATCTTTTCTATGCACCTTTCAAGTTATTTATTTACCGATTTCACGATCAGTAGAATGAACGTTCCTTAAATTTTGACAGAGTTTCACAGTCAACTCAACAAGGAATCACTGGAAGTATAGTATTAGGTCGACTGGTTAACAGTTACGAAGTTTGAAACTGTTAGTTGTTAAATAATAAAGAGGAGTTCAACAGCAAACATCAGTTGGAGTAAATTCTTTCAACAAACACCCGAGACAGCTCCGAAGTGTCTGTTTTGAGCGGTCCTTAGCTCGTATGTCCCAGATTGGGGCTGAAACGTGATATACCGTAATGATTCGAAATAGCGCTCGGGACGCTAATTTACTTTTGGCACCTTAGGGGAGGGCTTGTACATGTAAAACGCCAAATCGAGCAACATGCCGAAAAGGCCCCGACGCACAAGTTATGATTGATTACGCGATTGTTATTCAATGTTTGTAAAGCAAGATACGGCTTCGGGTTTCACGCACGATAAAGCCTTGTTGAACTACGCTCGCCGTCAATGCTGTTCTTTTGTTGACATACTTTTATTGCATGTACTTTACAGGGAGCGGAAGTCCATTTTCTGGTTATTCATTTCACAACTAAGAAAAACATAGGCATACCACGCATGCGAGAGTTATTTTCTAGGATGAGTGGGTTAGGATGGGAGACTTTAAGTAAATAATTTTTTTCAATTTTGTGAAAGAAAAAGAGCGTTAACAGACATGAACATGGCAGTCGACACAGAGAGCAGATATAACTTGATGATCTTTTCGACCTTAGCCAAAAGAGCAACCCCCCAAGGCGAAAAGGTTTATCGATCAAATACGCTTTGTCCAAATGCTCTGCGCAAATTTTGTCAAAGTCAGCACAACTAGCCCTTCCAAAACTAACGCTCCAGTCATAACTCCATGTTTGGCCTTTTGCTGACGGGGTAGGCGTTATAAGTGAAAGAGCGGTACACGAGAGACGCCTTAGTTTTTCAATTGGTAGGAAACTTCCCTGCTGACTTTTGTAACTCTGAGATTATAACTACGTCCAAACGGAGAAAATGAATTAGTTCACAGGATACATATGATATGCTCACAATTCTTTGTTGATGTCGTTTTTAGTGTCTGTCAATGTTGGATTGATTCCATTGCAACACTTTGCAAAACCCTAATTCCATGATATGATTGACATGAGGGACAGTACTCTGACGCCCCGATTGGTGCAAACATGCCCCAATGCTGTGATTGGATTGGTGCGAGATACATATCCTAATGCGCCGATCTGATTGGTGCGAGATACATACCCTGATGCGGCGATCTGATTGGTGTGAGATACATACCCTGATGCGGCGATCTGGTTGGTACAAAATACCTACCCAAATGCGGCGATCTGATTGGTGCGAGCAACATACGCTAACATAGAAATATTTGTTTTTATATATACATACACATGAAAACAAAAACTCAAAAAGTGACTTATCCACTGTGATTTCGCAATCTGAATAGTCCTTGTATGAGAATAAGTACTAAAATAGATTTTTGTGAGCCCTCTGAAGACGACTACAGGTTTCTTATTGCAAAACTCGATGACACAAGTTTTTGTTAACTTCCGGTCGCTATATTTGTGCCCCTCAGACAGACACAAAAATGGCGTCTCTATGAAAGCGTCATGGATTTGAGTAAAACATTTCTTCAAATATCACACAGACCTGAATCTTTGTGAGACTGTTTGAATATTCATCATATTTTATCTCTTTGATTCTTGACTATATTTTTTGAATGGTTTTGATGATGGTGCGACATTGAAAACCGCAATATTGTCTGATTTTCAAATCAGGGAGTCAATAACATAATTACAGGCCATTCCACTAAACATGTCCAATACACACAAACAGATTCCTATTCCAGTCAGTCAAATGAGAACCAGACACGCCTATTGGAATTGTACAATACGTACATATTTAAAAGCATAATTGGTCCGATGGAATCTATTCGTGTGCACTGAAATTTTTATTTCAGTTGTTTGCAATAAGATGAAAATTGTGTCGCCAATTTTGTATTCTGACCCTTTGTATTCTGATTCTTTACCTCGTTTACCTATTCAATTTTATATTCTGATTCTTTACCTTGTTATGCTCTAAATTATAGCCAACCGCTATTTACTGGTCAATCTCTATAGGAGATCGTCTTGTCATTTCGCGTGGGCGACTGCTTTTTAGTAGTCTACCTCGCAGTCGTTTTTTATGGTGGCTCATAGGGACAAAATACTTCCACAAATCACAAAACACCTCCACAAATCACAAAACACTTCCACAAATACAAAACACTTCCACAAATCACAAAGCACTTCCACAAATCACAAAACACTTCCAACAAATCACAAAACACTTCGACAAATACAAAATACTTCCACAAATCACAAAAGGGGGTTGTTATAATGCGAGCCTTTTATGACGGTCGGCATTAGAAAACATAGGGTGAAGTAGACCCGAATTATTAGCATTTTCCGATCATCGTAGTGACGTCATCTCCCGACCGCACAGTAAACTTCGGAAATTAACATGGCGACGTAAGCGTGAAACACTACCGACTAAATACAGAATGGCTCCGGCCTGTAATTGGATGGTAAAAATAGTAAGAGTTTGTAAAAGTTAATAAGTTACATCTTAACTCCTTGCACGTGAGTATTGTTTATCCGTGTGTCTCCAAGCGGAACAAGGAAATATCAATGCGACTAAAAACTCCGATGTGTCAAACAAGAGATGGTTACTTACATAACGAAGGGGAGACCTTTCTAGTTCAGCGATATTCCGGAGAGGACTAAGTCATCTGCTGACTCGTTCCGCTGACTAAACTCATTTAGTCAGTGCAGACTCAGTTCAGGTGGACGACTAGAGACTGGAGCCATTCCTGTATTTCACCGCTGGCAGGAATGGCTCCGACTCATGCGTTTATTAATTTTCTTTTTTTTTTCTTTTTGGCGAAATAAAACTGAAATAAAATCGAAAGAGCTTTTTATAAAGTTCTTCTTAAGTTGAACATTGCAATTCTTGTGAATGGAGCCCTCATAAATTAATACAAGGCCATGTGATGTCTAAAGTTTAATGC